AAAGAGGAAAAGAAAAAAGGAAACTTTTTCTTATAAAAAAATAATAATAATGATAAACACTTGTCAAAATTTGAATGATGAGCAACAAATTTTTTCTTCTTTACGAAAATATATGAATTTTATTAACAATCTATACCTATTATCATATGAATGAATACGAATTTCAATAACAAATGACAACAATTTAATTCAGGATTCGATGTGGCCAAGTTAAACAACACTTTCCTAATTTTAAAGAAATTATTTCTTTTGACAGTATTGTAGCTGTAGGGGCACGATGAAATTTCATTTTTTATATAGTACAAAAATGGAAAATACTATAGTTTTGGAAGTATTTCAAAGATTATGGTAACTTTTGTCTATATAAATTTCATCTTTTTATCACATCAAAAGTACATCTTTCAAAACACGATTTTAAAGTTGCTCTTTTTTTCTAAAAGCTTTCGTCAACTAGGATTCTAAAATCATGAAGACCTTCAATACGTGATTTTATTTTTTGGATTTGTGAGTTTTTATGTTTAGTAAAGAACTCTCATAAAAGTTGGCTACGAATCAGAGGCAATGAAAAATTAGTAAAAGAGAAGAAAATTACTCATACTTTAGGACCTTAGGTAAAAGAAAAACCATACGATGCCAAAGGTTGAAAAAGTAATACTACGAAAGAACTCTGTTTCTCACATTTCGTGAAGTTTCCATGCTTGAAATTGAGATTAAAAATGTACAATTAATTCGTAAATACAGTTGCTGGAAGATGATTGATGAGAGAAAGAAGATGATGATGTTTGATGAAAAAGAGAGAGGGTGTTTCACAAGAAAAATGACACTTCAATAAATTTTTCTCGACATATCAACATTCCATACATCAAATATGGAACCAAAAATATTAAAAAGGAAATACCCAGACTAAATAATATTTACAATACATGAAGGTTAAGTTAATGAAGAAAATCCTTCATGGGATCATCGTGGTGTGTCTTCTTCATTCTATATGCCTCCATGTCCTCCGGAGTTACCTGCATAAATCCACTATGTTGAGCCACACAAAGA